GAACTCACAGACAATACTCTTGTTTCTGGGGTTTATTAGGGAAGTAACAGGTTACAATTCAAGTTCAGGAATGCTCAGGATAGAGTTCTTCCATCAAGACAGCCTCTTCTCAGCTGTGCCCGCAGGCACACCTCTCTCTGGCCCCTCAGCCTCTGCCCTGCTCTGGCAAGTGTTACAAAGCTCTTTTAGCTCTGCCAACAAGTGCCTGGAGGCACCCCACTCCACCAGTAAGCCTCGACCTCAAGGCACTCAGCTCTAGCTCCGTGGGTCGGCAAACCTAGCTCCACCAAGTACCTGGCAGCACCCTATTCATCCAGCAAGCCTCCTGCCTAAAGTTGCTCAGCTCTCTCACGCCACGGGCCAGGAAGCCCACTGCACCGTCTCCTGCCAGTCTCTCCTGCCACCACTTCTTGCCATCTTCAATGTTACAGCTCACCCTCTTTCTCCCTCTGTCTCCTGGTTCCAGGAGCTTCTCAGTGCCGGAATCCTGGATCTCACCACTCCTGGGATGGCTCATTTTAAGCCTAGCAGGATGGCAAAACTGATGGGCCACAATTACCTTATTTGCACAGTCCTGCCCAATCCCTTGGGTGAGAGTTACAAGACTATGGCAAGAAAGGCCACACAAAAGTAACCCATCACACCGCACAAGTGATCCTCCCAGACATGCCTATCCTTAAAACACTCCAGAGCATCATGACACTATAACCTTTAAAATGCTGTCCCATCAAAGGAAGGATGGGACAAATATATCTCCTGACTCTGAGAGATACTAGAAATACTGTGGTTTCAAAATAACTGTTATTAAATTTAAAAGTGCCTAGCTCACTTTCCATAATAAAAAGTTTTGGTTTTCTTCCCAATTCCAAAAAAACGGCTAGCACAGTTTCCAGCACATAACCAAAAACTCTGACTCATGGCGACCCTGTATGTGTCAGAGTAGAACTGCTGCGTACGGTTTTCAATGGCTGATTTTTCAGAAGTAGATCACGGGACTTTCTTCCGAGGCCCCTGTGGGTGGACTTGAACCGCCAACCTTAAGGTCAGCAGCCGATCGTGTTACCTGTTTGCACCACCCTGGGACTCCTTCCAGTACATTGTTGTTGTTGTTAGCTGCCATCAAGTCAGCCCCAACTGTGGGCAATCCCATTTGTTACAGAGTAGAACCGCTCCACAGGGTTTTCTTGGCTATAATCTTTATGGAAACAGTTGCCAGGTCTTTCTTCCTCAGAATTGCTGGGTGGATTCTAATTGCCACCCTTTGGGTTAGCAGCCAATCACAAAGTGCTTGTGCCACCCAAGCTCCTTGTTCCGGAACACAGTAGGCTTTTTTCCTACATTTTATTTTGTTATCATTGTTGAAAATACACACAGCAAAACATACACCAATCAACAGTTTCTACATGTACAATTTAGTGACACTGATTACACTGTTTTGAGTTGTGCAACCATTCTCACTGTCCTTTTCTGAGTTGTTCTTCCCCCATTAATATAAACTCACTTTCCCCTAAGGTTCCTATCTAATCCTTCGAGTTGCTGTTGTCATCTTGATCCCAAACAGATAGTTCTTAAAAGAGCGTAATGCTCAAGGCAGGCCTTTTTTTACTAGTTAAGCTAAACTATTGTTTTGTTTTAAGAAGACTCCAGGGGATGGTTTAATGTTTTTTGGTTTTTTAAATTTATTTACTTATTTTTATTATACTTGGTTTAATGTTTAAAGATTATCCAGGGCAATAGTTTCAGGGGTTTATCCAAATTCCATGGCTCCAGAAAGTCTGGAGTCCATGAGAATTTGAAATTCTGTTCTGCATTTCCCTCCCTTTAATCAGGATTTTTCTACAGAATCTTTGATCAAAACGTTCAATAATGGTAGCTGGGCACCATCTAGTTCTTCCAGTCATGGCAAAGGAGACAGTTGTTCATGGAAGCAGTTAGCCACACCTTCCATATCCTCTTCCTATTCCTGACTCTCCTTCTGTTGGTCTAGGTGACATAGTAGGCTTTTCTTAAATACTGATTGCACAAGTGAAAAAACAACCTATCCTGAATCATCCTCACAGTTGAAGAATAGTTGTGTTATGTATGACCTTCTCAAGATATGAAGTACATTCACAAATTGAAAGGAGAGGGGGTACTATTTTTAAGCCATTCTGCACAGCAAGGCAAGGAAACAGGTGTTACTACCTGTATTCATTTTATGGCAATTTCTGAGTCTGTAAAACAAACAGAAATGGTGGGTGAGAAAACCAAAAGTCTTGTCCTTACTTTAGGGCTTTGAAACTGTTGAGGTGAAACTGATACCTTGGTCTGCACGCAGTTAAAGCTGAAGGTGACAAAGGGAAACTGTTCCACTAGGGACTTTTTTTTTTTTAATAAAAGATCTTTTCAACTCTGCAATTCCAGGTTATTGATGGCATTTGCTTGAAACCTTTCCACCTCTCTGCGAGCCAGGCAAGACCGGCTCCTTCGGCAGTATTCGAGGGACTCCCAGAAGACCCAACTGAGGGGCATAAGCGTTTTCCTCCCGCTCACTCGGAGGTCATCTTGCCATTCAAGTCATCCCAAAACTGCTTTTGTAGCTTTCCTTGAAGTGACAGGGCAGCTACTGCTCTCATAGCCCAAGAGGGGGCTGTGTCCGTACAGCAGGGGTGTCAGTGCTGTGAGAGAACCGCTTTTGAGATATATTCCCAGTCGGCGCAGGCTTCTGTGGTCCTAGAAGGGACCGCGACCCCAACCACCTGGAGGCACGTCCGGACGCCGCCCGCAGAGACGCCGCCCTCGGGCCACTCAGACAAAGGACCCAGCCCCCGGCGCGCCCCCCAGCCGTATGCGCGTTCCCCAGCCGGGGGCCACTCACCGCTCAGATAGTTGGTCCATTTGTACAGCACCCCCTCCATGGCGCTCGCAGCCCCCTTCTTCCCCGCAGCGCTGGGGCCGCTTCCTCACGCCCGCCGGCCCCTTCACTGCCCCAGTCCCCAGTAAGCGAGGAGCACAGGCAGCAGGGCCATCGCCCGGCGCTGCCGAGAGGCCCAATGCCAGTACCCGGGCCCGGTGCGGGGACACCCGGCCGGCCTCACATCCTCGGCCCGGGGGCGGGGTCACTGCGGAGGCCTCGGCATGTGAGAACGCCGCCGGCAGGCGGACCCGAGCGGCGGGGCCCAGCACGCTGTCCAGAAGGAGGTCAAGGCACCGGCTTGGTCCGAGGGGCGCGTAAGCCTCCAAAGTGCGGCAACTGAGGATCGCGACCAGTGCCACTGCGCGCTACCTGACCCCTCCAGCGGCCGGTCCAGGAGCACGCTCGCGCATGCCCAGTGCGCCTCACACGCTCTCCTTTCCAAAATCCACTCCGTGGTTTCGCTGCCGCGGCGGCTGAGCTGACGTAGCGGGCTAAGCCCGCAGAGAAACTGAGTCCTGGGGAAATTCTAAGACGCCGGCTAGAGTGTCGGCTCTGGGTGAGAAAGAAAGAGGGGTGCTCTTGAGGAAACGTGTGGGACACAGCTTTGACTCTTAACGGTGCCAAAGTTGGGTCAGGTCCCATTTCCCGATGTTTGGGACTCGTCCTAGGCCCCCTATGGTACCCACTGGGCTCTAGTCCTCAGCATCCAATACTTATTTCGATGCTTTCTGTTTGATCCCACACCCTGGAGATATCCAACAATAGGACGTACGGAGATGATAGGCATTTCATGATGGGATGCTGTCTGGCCGGTGCAAATATATGTTGTCTAAACTCTGGCGCAGTGGTTTAAAGCTATGGCTGCTAACCAAAAAGTCGGCAGTTCGAAGCCACCAGCCGCTCTTTGGAAACCCTTTGGGGCAGTTCTCCTCTGTCCTATAGGCTCGCTATGAGTCGGAAATCACTGGACTGCAGTGGGTTTGGTTTGGTAAACTGTAAGGCTTTGTTAGTCGAGGTCCCAGGGCCAGCAGCATTGGCATCACCTGGGAGTTTGTCAGGAATGCAGAGTCTCGTCCCCAGCCCAGACCTGCTGAATCAGAATCTGCATTTTAACAAGATCCCCCAGGGGATTCCTATAGCTGCTGAATCATAATCTGCATTTTGACAAGATCCTCAGGGGATTTCTATGCACATTAAAGTGTGAGAAGCACTGTGCTAAGAATATTTGACCAGAGAAAGTGTCAAATATAGATTAAGTGGAAAAAGGTTACGAAACAAAGTGTACAATATGATCCAAATTGCTTTAGTCACATGCCACAGAAGCATGCACCAAAATGTTAAAGCTGATTATTTGTGGATGGGGGTGTTACAGATGGTCTTTTTCTTTTCTCCGTTCTTTTTTTTTTTTTAGAGTAAATTTGCCAGATTTAGCAAATAAAAATAGAACAATTATACGCTGTCTGAAATTCAAATTAATTGGGCTCCTGTATTTTATCTGGAAACCTTATTTTAGTGCTTTTCAGTTTCTTCCAAATTGACTATAATGAACATGTTTGCTTTTGAAATTAGACGAAAAATGTAAAACTAAAATTTTTAAATTAGGATGAGCATATATAATTGGTAACCGTGATTACTATTTCCTCTTTAAAGCAAAGGTCTGCACGTCCTTACCCTCCAAGCATCTCTATTATTTGCCCCCTACACTGCTACACTAAGGTCACCTAAGTGATAAATTATTAGCAGCCATAAAGTTAAGTCGTGGAATGAATCAGAAGACTTGAAGTCAGATCTCAAATGAATACCTTCCCTAGCCTAAATTTACTTATCTTTAGAATGGGATTAGAAAAACAAAACAAGACAAAAACCTGCCTTGCTCGTTGGAGTGAGGTTCATGAACGGGAACGCGCTTTGTAAACCCTAAAGCACTAGGAAAGTCATTATAGTTTATACCATAAATTAATTAATGAGCAATAGCAGGAGACTTGGATGTGGAATCCTGGCGGGAGAGGGTGCTCACCAAGGGCGATAGTAAACAGGCCTTTCCTGAAACCCCTATCGTTTCACTTGACCTAGGACGCTTTCTAACCTCGCTCTTTCCGGGTACTTAATGTAGGTAAATCGGCCGGAGGGGTTTCCGGTTAGCTCCTCCCCTCTCCCAAAGTCCGGGGATGTGGAATTCTTCAGCCGCCGAACTCTAGGAACAGTTGGTGTCGTCTTCCGCGGGCTGGCTCCCCAAACTCGCCAGGCTGCCAATTACAACTTTGCGGCGCCATTGGCTCGAGAGGCACCTGAGGGACAAGACCGCGGACCAATAGGAGGACGCTCTGTCCAGGCGGCTGCAGTATAAGAGCCAGTCAGGCCTTGGTCTGGATTTAACTCTTTAGAGGTGAGTTTGCAGTGCCTGGGAAAGTTGTCGGTAGTAAAAGTGCCACGTCTGCTAAGGAGGGAGAGTCATGAACTTGCCAATTGCTATTACCCCTAATCCTGAAGCTACGTTCTTAACTCTTTGAAGTCAGAGGCCCTTTCTGTGCTTTTGTAAAGACTCTTTCCTGCCCTACTAACATGAGGCTCTTCTCGTGGAACGCGGTCCTGACCCTGTTAGTCACTTCTTTGAGTGGGGCTCTGATCCCTGAACCAGAAGTGAAGATTGAAGTTCTCCAGAAGCCATTCATCTGCCATCGCAAGACCAAAGGGGGAGACTTAATGTTGGTCCATTATGAAGGCTACTTAGAAAAGGATGGCTCCTTATTTCACTCCACGTAAGTAATTTTGCGCCACAGGTGAAATAAAAAAGAACCCACCCTCCTATGCCAGCTCCCGAGCAGGTAAGATTGCGGGTACCTGGTTTAACCGCTCTTAAAAATACCGTATTTACTTCTTTGGGAAAGGAAATTGTTTAAAACCAATCTTATGTGACAAGGCCTTTAAAGGTCTTTTTGGAAACGTGTGGTCTGGATAAAGCTGTTAATTTTTTTTATTATGAAAATTAGAACTAGAAACTTTGAAATACTGCAGAAATATCAGGTTATAATTAGGCAATAAGTAGTAAAAGCTTAAAAGAATTCTCATATCTCAAACTCCTTTCTTGGGGAAAATTACTTAATTCCTTTTTATCTGGCATAGATATTTACTTAAAACTTTTCACAGCAACTTTATGAGCAAAATACACAATCAGTTATTTGCCTGTTGAAGGATATGCTAATGTTATTGCATTGACCTATTGACTTTTATTCTGACAGATGATATTTAGATCAAGTACCATGATTTTCAGTAGTGATTTGCTTCTTTCTAGAATTCAAAGACTTAATTGAGGGGTGTGGGTGTGGTTATGGAAGCTAAATCCAATACCTACAGTGAGAAATTTTCAGGTGGTTACATTATCATTATTTCTATTGTATAAACAAGGAAATTGCAACATGGAAAAGTTTTACAAGTGTAATGATTTCCAATTAGGCATTACTTCAATTCATTCCATTCCAAAAGTATTTATTGCGCATTTTATGTTAGGCCCTTTGCTGGGTACTAGGCAGATTCAGAAATTTTGCTTCTATTCATCCTCATCCATTTATTTATCCATCCATCTTTCAAACCTTCCTCGAGGGGCCACAAGTCAGTCCTTGGGGAGACAAAGATGACTAAGAGTAGGTGCTTGTCATCTAGCAACATACAGTCCGCGGGGGAGAGAGGAAAACAAGTAAATAACTCATGATATAGAGTATGGAAGATATAAAGTGCTAGCAAAGCATAGTGGAGCCTGGAATTAGTTGTGCTCTGGGAAGTGAGGAAAGAGACTTCCCAAGACCATAAATGAATTGGGCCTTGAAAGATGGGTGGGGGTTCCCAGGTTGATGACGGGGGAGGAAGGACATACTAGGTAGAGGGAATGGCATGAGTTAAAGCAGTGGCCCATCCTAGACCTCATTTTCTGATCAACTGCCTTTACTGGGCATTCAGACCTGGTCTGGCATGGGGTTTCAGGGAAGTGAATGGCACTCTTCTCTGAATTCTGTTAACAGCAGGAGCATAAAGCAGCCCTGGCAAATGTTTCAAAAAGAACTGCCACAGAATTCTCAACACTCCTTTGAAATTTTCTTCTTGTCACCAAGGCCAGTGCCACAATGATTTGATTTGCATACAAAACAGTATCATGATTTGCATTTCTAATTTTCACTTACTTTTTTTATTTCCAGTCTGATCTCTTCAAACCCAGCCTGATTTCTTTGAAGTCTCACAATCAAAATTTGGCCGACTTTGGTGGTCACCATGGGGCATTATTTAGCAGTTTGCTGCTAACGTTCTAGTACCCAATGAGGTGACTGTTGTCATGGAGACTCTGTCAGGAGCTGATAACTCTGAGTATTATGAAGAAGTACCATCAAATGATTGGTTTATAAAGTGTTTATAAAGCTCCTTTGGCATTTCTAGAACCACAGTCTATATGAGCTCCAGCTTAAATCCTTTAGCCTTGACAAGAAATGAATGAAAACCGTAGCCAGTGCTGGATGGCAGATTGTTTTATCCTGCTTTATTTTTACCAAATTTGTTACTTTGTTCATGGGGGGAAATTAAGACCCCCCCTCCAAAAAAAAAAAAGAGAGAGAGAAGGAAATGTTATTTACCTAGATTTAGTAACTGTGATATCTGTGAAGCCCAGTAGAGTGATCACTCATTCACACCTACAAGACAGGTATTGCACCAAAAGAGAGCTAACTGGGGCTCAGACAGCACTCAGCCTCAAGCATTCTATTATGGATTGAACTGTGACCCCCCTAAATATGTGTTGGAATCCTAACCCCTACATGAGTGGGTGGATGTAAACCCATTTGGGAATAGGGTTTTCTTTGTTATATTAATGAAGCCATATTAGTGTAGGGTGTATCTAAAACCTAATCACTTCTGAGTGATATAAACAGCAGCATAGACACAGAGACAAGCAAGCACAAAAGGGGAAAACATAGATGCCACATGGAGATCACCAAAAAGAAGCTGAGGCAACGATTTTCCCCCAGAGCAGAGAGAGAGCCTTCCCCTAGAGCTGGTGCCCTCAAATTGGACTTCTAGCCTCCTACACTGTGAAAAAATAAATTTGTTCGTTAAAGCCACCCACTTGTGGTATTTCTGTTGCAGAAGCACTAAAAAACTAAGACATCACTCAGTAGCTCAGCAGGTTGGTTTTCTTAGGCTGGCCTCTCTTCAGCTCCAGCCAGGGTATCTTAACCACTCCCTTCCTCCCCAGTCCCTGAGGGGCCACTTCTCCAGGCTTCCCTGCAGAGCCCCATAGTAGAGACCTGGGGAAAGAAGCAGGCAAGAGTCTGAGTGGGGATTCAGGGGTGAAGAGCAGCCCTTTTCACCCGTTGGAGCTGTGCACAGGCTAAACCAGGAAAGCTTGTAGGTGGGACGTAAGATGTTGTTCTCCTGACTCCCTGACATCCATGTTATATGGATCCGTGTGTGTGCAGTAAATTCTCCTTAAGCTCTCATTCTTCCCAGAGTAACCCATTTTCCATTATTTTTTGCCTGTTTTGTACCATAGTGGTTTTCCTAGTATAGCATCACTTTGTGGTTACAACCTTGGGCTTTGGAGTTAGGCACGCTTAACCTCAGTTTCCTCTTCTGTACAATGGAGTAATCATGGTACTTACCTCATAGGATCATTGTAGCATTAAAAGAGGCCAAGCTGCTGTTGTAGCGGAGTGAAAACATCCATAGACAACACATAAACAAATGAGCATGGCTGTGTTCCAATAAAACTTTTTTTTTCAAAAACAGGTAGTGAGCTAGGTTTGGCTCATGGGCTGTAGTTTGCCAATTCCTACTTTATTGCATTATTTATACTTTCATTATTAAGATTTTCATATATACAGAAAAATAGAGAGAATATCATGTACCCATGATTTAGTTTTAACAGTTGTTAACATTTTGCCATGTTTACTTCATATATTTGATAGTTGAATTTTTATAAAGAAAATTACTGTCATCGTGAGATTTCACTCCCAACTACTTTAACGTGAATCTTTAAAACAAAAACATATTACTGCATAACTAACCTAATCTTTAAAAATAAAAACATATCCTTGCATAATCTAATAAAATGTATACTAATTCTCTAAAAAAAAAAAAAAAAAGAGGCAAAGCACTTAGGATAATACCTGGTATATAGTAAATGTTCAAACAATTGTTAATTGCTTTTATTGTTATTCCCTCTGCCCTTCTCTAACTGAGGCAACTGTGAAGTTTGCATCAGGAAAGATGGGCAATCAGTTGAATTAGTATAAAGTTAACTTGTATGTGTGCAGGTAAAGAATAGCTGTTTTTTAATTAACTTCCAAGCTAATAACTGCTTATGGATGGAAAAATGTACCACAGCAATAAAAAATAAAATTACTAAAGAGTTCCAATTTGTTTTCTATCATAGTCACAAACACAACAATGGTCAGCCCATTTGGTTTACCCTGGGCATTCTGGAAGCTCTCAAAGGTTGGGACCAGGGCCTGAAGGGAATGTGTGTGGGAGAGAAGAGAAAGCTCATCATTCCGCCTGCCCTTGGTTATGGAAAAGAAGGAAAAGGTAAGAACACCTCCACATTTCTTACCTTGGCACTTGAGTTCTTCTCTGGATTAAGAGATAAAAGTTAGTGTGACTTCTAACTTCTTGCATTCCTTTGGGAAATAATATCTTGGTTATCATTTAAAATGGCCTTTTAAAATAAAGTAAAATAATATCTAAATTGGCAACTGAGCTAGCATTGTAGAAAGGTTCTGGAACCCTGAACTCTACTAATGTTCACTCATTTGTTTCAACAATATAAAAAGAAACATTCAACATAAGTATCTTAAGTTGAACATTTGAAACACAGGCTATTAAGGCATTAAATGCAGTTTTAGATCTGGGCTCTTCAGGATTGGCTTGCGACTGTAGCTTCCAATAGCAAAATTTTTCTTGGGGGGTTCTTTTCACTTTTAAAGGTTATTTATAAAGCTTTTGAGGATTTATTAAAAAAAAAAAAAAGGGTGCCATAAGATGGTTTAGTTTCCCCGTGCCACAAAGCAGAAGCAAGCTGGCTAGCTGGCCTGGGGAGTCTCTGACTATGCCAGTCCAGAGCAAGCTCAGGAACCTGATGTTTGAGTGAGAACTCATATAACTTTACAAAGAAAAACTCGTCCAATTTCCTTTATTGCAATCTAACCTAGGGAAACAATTCAGGTATCAGGAGAAAGATTTGTGAACGGGGATGTCCATCACTGCATTGTTTCCAATAGCAAAAAAATTGGAACCAGCCCTACTACATGTATAATGATAAAGGTTTAGCTAAATAAAATATGGCCCAGTTATTAAAAATGGAATCCTCAAAGATTTTAAACATTGTATCTGAAATGCATGATATGTTATATATAAGTAGAAAATAAAGCTGTGGTATATCTACTATGATACTAAGTATTGGAAAAGAAGTATATGCACACAGAAAGTGAATCACAAGGAAATAAATTAGAATATTTATTGGGCTGTGGGACTGGGCATTATTTTTATTTCTGGTTCATTCTCTTCCATATTTTTTTACAATGAGCATATATTACTTATATAATGAGGCGAAAGTTGTGTGTGTGTGTTTTAAGTAGTCATCAGAGCCACACAAAGAACTACACTGGTGTAGTATAAATACTAAGTCTAACCTTACCATTTATAAACGCAATCAGGATTCCTAGCCCCAGTTTCCTAAGAATGAAAAATAAGGTGCCATATGTGAAGCAGTATATATTCTAAAATGGAGCTTGCCATATAAATTTTATCAATAGAAAAGAATTTACTAACCAACTTCCATTCTTATTTTAATTATAATCATCTTTAGAGAAGAAAATCAAGGATCTAGAAAATGTTTCTCTGGTGCTTAAAAGTATTCTTTGACTTTCCTGTATCTTCATTGTCTCATCTTTAATATCTATGGATAATACAATTCATTACTCATTCTCTAAACTATAATTAACTCAGTTTTACTAGATAACAAGTAGAGATCCAAGTTTAGATCTCTTCCTTCAAACTAAGTGCCATGAAACTAATTCTTCTACTATGTATTTAACACTAATTTTGTAGTTTTTTAGTACCATGCTTGCATGCCTTCTTTGGAAAGATACCAGTGTTAACGACGACCTAGTGCATGCCCTTGTCTCTGTCTAAATGTGGAATGGTAAGCTTCGTAGCACACAGTGTAAGTGGTCTTCTCTTTGAGACTTACAAATGCTCTTTCATGGAATACTTGGAAATATTTAGAAATGTTTATTAGAAATCTGCATGTTAAATATGGCTACAAGGAAGAAATTTTGAAACAAATTGTACTTCTCAGAAAGTTTTTTTTTTTTTTTTTAGGTCTTTGGGACTTTAACAAAACTCTTTTCACTATTCACTTTCAAAGATTTTTATCTCCCTTCTCAGAAATTAATTTGAATTTCTCCCCTTCAATTCCCATGAAATTTCTTTAACATATGTGTAATGTTCTATATCAAAGGAGATGTTTGTAACTTTTTGAAATTCCTGCATTGTTTTTAAATCCTGTAAGAGAATTATTATATCTAAGTAACATTTATTGAGAAGCTACTGTTTATCATGCATAGTGCTAAGTATTTGTCTTAATTATCTCATGCTGCTATAACAGAAATACCAGAAGTGGATGGTTTTAGCAAACAGAAATTTGTTCTTTCACAGTTTAGAAGGCTAGAAGTCTGAAATCAGGCGCCAGCTCTGGGGAAGGCTTTCCCTCTCTGTCAGCTCTGGGGGAAAGTCTTTATCTCCTTTCAACAACTGTGGGCCCAGAGTTCCTTGGAGATTTCCATGTGTCTTGACATCAGTCATTCCCTGGATCTAGGAGGTTGTCAGCACAGGGACTCCAGGTCCAAAGGACATACTCTGCTCTCAGCTCATCTTTCTTGGTGGTAGTGAGGTCCCTCCTTCTCTGTTCTCTTCTTTCTGCTTTTATCTCTTGTAAGATAAAAGGTGATGCAGGCCATACCCCACAGAAACTTCCGTTACATCAGATCAGGGCTATGACCTGAGTAAGGGTGTTGAATCCCATCCTAATCCTTATTAACATAACCTAATCCTGCCTCATTGACATAACAGAAGGCTTGCTCACAAATGGGACCATAATCGTGGGCATACCAAACCAAACCCACTGCCATCAAGTCAAATCCAACTCATAGCGACCCTATAGGACAAAGTAGAACTGCCCCCATAGGGTTTCTAAGGCTGTAAATCTTTTATGGAAGCAGACTATCACATCTTTCTCTCTCAGAGTGGCTGGTGGGTTCAAACCACTGATCTTTCAGTTAGCAGCGGAGCACTTTAACCACCATGCCACCGGGACTCCTCCTAACCACAGGCATAGAGGCTGGGGTTTACAACACATGACAAAATGGAAGATAATCAGATCATAAAATGGAGGACAACCACACAATACTGGGAAGCATGGCCTACCCAAGTTGACATATATTTTGGGGGAACACAATTCAATCCATGACATTCTACCCTTTGGTCCCCCAAAATTCATGTCCTTGCCACATGTAAAACACTTTCACCCCATCATATCATCCCAAAAGTCTTAAATCAACTCTAAGTCCAAATTGCATCCTGGGGCAACATTCCTCTTCATCTGTGAACCTGTGAAATCTGGAATACAGGTTATCTGCTTCCAAAGTACAATGGTAGAACAGGCACAAAGTAGATATTTCCGTTATAAACGGGAGAAATTGGAGGGAAAGAAGGAATAACAGGTACCAAGCAAGTAAAGCACCCAGCAGAAGGATTTACACTAACTCTCAAGGCTTGAAAATAATCCCGTTCTCTGATTCTCTGAGACCATTTAGGCAGTGGCCCTGCCCTCCAGACTCTGGTATTGGCCATGCTCTCTGGATTCTGGGTAGAGGCCCCTTGACCTTGGGCTTCAGCTCTGCCTTCCAGGCCCACTGGGACGGCAACTCTGCACCCTTGGTTTTGGGCAGCCCCGTTCTCCTAGTCCATCTAAGTGTCGATCCCACTCCCTTGACCCCCAGCAGGCCCAATTCTTCTGCCCCTTGGGCATGGCAGCCCCGCCCCCTCTGCTTTGGGCAGCAGACCTGGACCCATGACCCTGGCACTTGTGACCAGCAGCCCCATGCTCCAAACTGAGTTGGTGAAGATCTGACTCTTTGAAACCTACAGGACTGTGGCCCCACTCTTTTGAAACCCCAGAGGCTATGACCCCACCCTTTGAGACCCCAGAGGCCACGGCCCTACCCTTTGAGACTGAGGCAGCTCTGCTTCCCATGCTCTTGTCTCTTCAGCTTCTGCCTTCTGGTTCCTTGGCCTCTCAGCCCCTCAGGCCTCTTGAGCCAGCCGGCCTCTGCCCTGCTTGAGCAAGTGTTATTGTTCTTTAGCTCTACCCTTCGTCCTCATAACAGTCTCATGAGGTGGGGAAATATTATCTACATTTTACAGATGAGGAAATTGAGACTTAGAGAAGGGCAGATACAAGCTTCAATCCCAGACAGTATGTCACCTGAGCTCACTTAATCATATACTGCCTTCCAGTGGTAGAAATGGAAATTCTATATGTATTTCTAGGTCAGGACTTGCTGACTCAAAAGTTAGTAAATCATTTGTAATATAATTAATTCAGAATTATCTAAAGCACTTTAAGTCAATATTAACAGGTAATATTTTTTCTTTTTTTGGCAAAAATATATACAACAAAACATGCACCACTTCAACAATTTATACACGTGCAGTTCAGTGACATTGGTTACATTCTTCAAGTTGTGTTACTTTTCTTGACAACTTTTTCCAAACGATTTCACTGTCATTAACACAAACTCACTACCCACCTAAGCTTTTCATCTATCCTTTCGAGTTGCTGTTGTCAATTTCATCACCTATAGATAATTTTTTAAAAGAGTATAATGCTTAATGCAGATATCCTTTTTCTGTTTCTTTTTTTATTGTGTTTTAGGTGAAAGTTTACATCTCAAGTTAGTTTCTCATACAAAAATTTATACACACATTGTTACGTGACCCCAGTTGCTAGCCCTATAATGTGACCGCACACTCCTCCTTTCCACCCCAGATTCCTGTGTCCATTCAACCAGCTCCTATCCCTTTCTGCCTTCCCATCTCGCCTCCAGACAGGAGCTGCCCATTTAGTCTCACGTATCTACTTGAACTAAGGACACTCTTCATGAGTATCATTTTATGTCTAATAGTCCAGTCTAATCTTTGTCAGAAGAGTTGGCTTCGGAATGGTTTTAGTTCTCGGTTAACAGAGAGTCCCAGGGCCATGTCTTCTGGGGTTCCTCCAGTCTCAGTCAGACCATTAAGTCTGGTTTTTTTTCTAGAATTTGAGTTCTGCACCCCACTTTTCTCCTGCTCCATCAGGGACTCTCTGTTATGTTCCCTGTCAAGGTGGTCATTGGAGGTAGCTGGGCACCGTCTAGTTCTTCTGGTCTCAGGCTGATGGAGTCTCTTGTTTATGTGGCCCCTTTCGTCTCTTGGGCTAATATTTTCCTTGTGTCTTTGGTGTTCTTCATTCTCCTTTACTCCAGGTGGTTGGGACCAATTGATGCATATTAGATGGCCAC